CACAAAAGCCAGTGGTAGGTATGATTGCAAAATAGGAAATGGCTGGAAGGCTGTGCCCTGCTAATAACAGGTCCCTCCAGGAAGGGGAGAAAGAGGCAGGGAGAGCAAGTTTCCTGGTGGATTATTCTTCCACATTGTTTAAATCTTAAAAGTTAAGGAGTACCATCTGCAATTTCAAAATATCAACAAGTAGTTTTTAAAAGAAAGACAACTGCTACATATATGATACTGGATGAATCAAACACTGCAGGGAAATGAGGTGTCTGGGATGGTGAAGAGCTGCTTGTGGATCCCAGAAACTGAGGCCCTTTGTTCCACAGAGCAAGGACATGGCCTTGTAGACATTGGGCACCACTGTTTATAAAGCTCCCTGAAAGCCAGGCTAACAGATCATCTGTGTACGCCACAGAGCCTGGGAGCATAAGTGTATAATGGCCCACCTATGAATGGAAAATGGTATTAGAAGAAAACTCAGACATAGCTTTTCATAGACATGGGGACAGGGATGGATTCCCTGACTCAGGAGACAAAGGCATGATCTGAGACATGCCACATGTACTCCTGCCTTCTGCAAGCATTGTGATGTTATCCAAATTCTGCATTTCTGGCTAAATAAATCACAAACAATATCTAAATGTAGCATGTGGGAGAAATTCCTTCTGCCAATCTGTAACCCATCAACCCACCTGTAATTCCACACACCCTTTTTCATGTTTCTGTATTGTACTTGAATAATGAACCACCCTTTGATAATTCTATTCTGTTTAGGTTTCATAATTTATAGAGAAAGACCAGCAATCCAGTCATCCAACTTTTCCCACCCTAGTGAAATCTCAACGAATGTCATTTGCAGAACTAGGTGACAAAGAACCAGGACTTGCATTCCAACTCACTAAGATTCCTATCCGAATGGATTGATGAGATTGATAAGCATTGATGAGGTAACTACCACATAAATGCCCACATAAACTTAGTTTACAACATACAGGGTCCCAGCAAAAAAAAAAGTTTCTGTATTTGATGAACAGTGAGCATCATTTCTAATTGCAGAGCAATGTGTTCAATTTCTGAGATAATTTGGAAAAGAGGGAAAATTTAAAAACAATTCCCTTCAAACTACTTAAAATAAAATACCTTAAAGTATAGCTATCATAAACAAACAGAATGCCTTTTTTCAAAAACAGAGAACAGGAAGGTAAAACAGGTCCTATCTGGGGATTGGTACCAGTGGAAGAGGGGGGAAAGATATAAGGAAAGGGGAGGAGGATGAATGTAGTGAAATATTATGTAGCATACTTGAAAATGGAAAAATGAAACCTGTTGAAACAATTCCAGGAATGGGGTGGAGGACAAAGGAAAACGATGGAGTGGTGAATTCAACTATGATATTTTATAAGAACTTTTATAAATGTCACAATGTACCTCCAGCACAATAATAATAAGATAATAAAAAATCCAGTTTTCTTTTAAATTAATATAAAATTTCTCCAAAGCAGAAAGAACAAATTAACGTATAAGCGACCCCAGAGGAACACCTGGCCCTTAAATTCTTAAATGTGAAGAGGGAAGGAAGGAAGGGAGGGAGAAGGGGAGGAGAGAAATATTTTCAATTACAGACCAATGTTTCCAAGCTATACACTGCCAGAATCCATGTTGGGGAAGGTATGGGGAAAAGACATTTTGATGAATCTGTCAGTCCCAGGTCAGAGAAACCAGGTGTTTCAATAATCAATCAAAGATAGAGATAAGCAGTGACAGCAGATGCTTGATGAGCGTGTGGTGCTAACTCCATGGTTGGTACCACGATGCTTCTTGAGCTGTGAAGGCTGATGTGACTACAAGGTCTGTCCCTGGTTGCTCTGCTTTTTTTTAAAGAAACTACAGTAAATTTCAAATCTCAAGATTGTATGACTTACATGCCAACAAAAACCCATCCATAGAAAAATGACTTCCATAAAGCATTCTTAACGAATTTTTTTATTCATTCACCATTTTAAATACAGGATATGTTTACTACCATGAAAAATGCATGATGCACTCCAGGCGTTGGTTAATTTATGGTAAAAAGGCATCCTTAAATTACCCTACTCAATTGGGTAAGTTTGTTCTTAAGAAACAGAATACCTCTAAATGAAAACACAAAGCAATAAGACTATTCCCTGTCACCCAACATGAAAATCAGTAAGAGGAACAAATTCATAAATTAGTGAAAGTACAAAGAATCCAGAGGTTACAACCCTGCAAAACTTCATAAACTTACAGACCGAACAACGACTATGTGTTGAGGAATAAATGATATGAATTTAAGACCTCTGATATGAATTCCAAGTAGTCCTTAGTTTACCAGATGTCAACAACTTTTAAACATGCTTCATTGAGCTTCATGTTTTACCACCAAATAAAGGATTAACCTGAAAATGCTAATTTAGCTTTCCAAAATCAGTAATTCAACCTACTGGTAGTAGAATACTGGTTACTTGAGTGAGTGTATGCGTGCGTGCGTGCATGTGTGTGTGTGCATGTGTGTGAATTAAACTATGGCTTTTCTTCTATCAAGTTCTTAAAACCAACCAGAAAATGGAGTGAGCTTTAACCAGGATTCTCTAGCACAAGCCAGGGCATCTGATTGTATCTATCTACCACTGAGAAGCACGTATGCTGCATTTTGGCAATTTAAATGTTAAAAGTTGAATGAAGGATATACTTAGGCTATCCTATGAGAAAACATTTATTTAATATAATCTATAGTATAGTATACTCAATGAATATACTTGGTATTACCCATTCTTTGGAATGTATATCCACAGAAAATTAGACTAAGATTAAGAAAATTAACTGTTTTGCTATTAACCATTTACTTCATAAGATCATGTTTATGGTGTAAAAACTATAAAAGGGGGGACACAAAAGACCATAATTCTCTCATATATATTTCCACAATAAATATTACATATTCTTTTCATATATAAAACTGCTGAAAATATGTAAACTATTTTTGTAAAGTACTGTAAAGTATCTGAGACAATTGCTTATACTATTCCTTGAAATTTTTACTTGAATTTCTTAGAATGTCACCCTAATATTTTTGTTATTTGGCTCTTCATTTAGGGGCACTAAAACTTGTATAAATAAATACCAAACCTAGCCACATAGTTCCACCAACTACCTTTTCATTTATTCAATACACTTTACTGGCTTATATAAATGACACATAAAAATACAAAAGTCAGAAATAAAATCTATTCATCAGGAAATATAAATTAATCAATTGCTCATTTCTGTTCAGACTCTGTCTTCCAGCTTTAATAATTTATTTGTGGTTTAACTTTGGACATTTTTCTGATATTCCTAAATTAGGGATTACAGTTCAATACAATGTGTTATCAGGATATATACAATACCTCCAATGAAAAGTGAATAAATTATTCAAATTATGTAATATAGATTTTAATCATTTTTTTAAAATAACATTTCTGAAAAATTCTAAAATTATGTGATTTTGTAAGATGATACGGAAATGATATTTTCGCACATTTGTATGCAAGAAATTTCTCCACAAGCACAAGTAACTTCCTTGACAAAAAATTGATTTCAATTTAATATAATATTAAACTCCATCTTCAAATTGGATATAAACCACTACCATGCAGCTCCTCTAAAATTTGCTCTGCAGATGAAACAAGTAGATTATGGTGAATAAAACAGACATAATTTTTCAGGTCTTCTTATTTAACTTATATAAGCTCAAATGACCCAAGGTATAGACAAAATAATTATGACTCTTTCAAATATGAAACAACTTAAATCTTAGATCTGTAAAAAATTAGTGACTATCAATTTTCATTCAGGCAGAATAGAAGATTCAAGGAGAAGAGCAAAAATTTCAACTATGGCAATATTCAAAATTTCAAACAATTGTCAGAGTAAAACTTTATGCTTACACCATTTGGATTGCTTTTGTCCTAACAGAATTTTAGTTGGTTTCTCTGACAGAGAGTTCTGCTATTGTGTAACCATATTTTAACATAATTGACTTTAATGTTGTTCTTAAAGAACTCCTACTTCCTGCTACCACATCATCCCACTGTTTACTCTAATAGTAAACTTTAAATAGTGGAAGATTTTTTTCTGAGCACAAAATGAATGCAAAGGCTAACAATGAATCACCAGCATGTAAAGTTCACATTGCTTAATGGACAGTAGCACTTGCAACTCTTCAAAATGAATCAATTAGGTGAATGGGTAAGAAACTTTTTTAAAACAGTAAAAATAAGTAAGCTCCCCTACTTTCTTTTCAATTTTCTATGACCCAGTCATACTTAAGAATTGAAATGTTTATCCTGAAACAAGGAGTATCTCCTTTACTTGACGTGGAAGACGCATGTGTGAGATGCAATTCTATCTTTAGACTTGTTACAACTTTCCCTAGTAATTAGGAAGCTGTATGAACCCAACAGAATGACACTAACAAGCTCCTGCAGTTTCTACTCTAGCAAGAAGTCAAAGAAACCCAAAGCAGGCAACTGTCTTCAGTAAAAGGATTATGCAGTCTGGTTATTAAAGTGGATAACACTCTCTATAGTTTTTGTATCTGAAGAGACTTTCTAAAAGAGTCAGCTTTTACAGTTAACATGATTTATTAACTAAAAAAAAAAAAGGTAAAGCATGGCCACAGAATTTACTTAAGAAAAAATATATACAAGTGTTAATAGAAGAGGCCTGTTTCCAACAACTTCTTTGAAATTTTCCCAAAAGAAAGATGGAAAATGTCATTATAACAAACACCTGTTCCTACTTGGGATTCCTCGTAGAATCCCATTTCTGGAGGGTTCCTAAACACAGTGAGGTTGTATCCTTCTTCTAAAACACAAAGTCAGGCACTTATACACATGATTCTGATGAGCCAATAATAACCAAATACAGATTCAGAAAAATAAAACACCTAGAAAATGGAAAAGGGCAGAGGGCCCTGGCCAACCGCAAGAGCGATACTCACATACCTTGAGGACTTCCATGGGCACCTGAGTGGCAGAGGGAAGTGTGGCGGGCGCGCTGACGTTTATGGCTGGGGTCTGGCTCACGGGCACTCTCTGTTGCATGAACTGAGCGGCCTGCAGCTTCTGCTGCTGCTCTCTGCGTTCTTGCTCCTGCATCTGCTCACGCATGAGTTGCTGGCGTAGCAAGATGCGTGATGTCATACTGGAGGAGCTTATCGGAGGCTTGGAGGCCCCAGGATGCTCCACGGAACTGCTGTGGGGAAACCAGAATGCACACAACGGTTAGTTTCCTAACGAGAGCCTTCGTTTGCATCTTGGGGTATCCTAAATGGCCCCAAATTGAAATGAGTGTGCACAAACATAATCAAGGTGCAGAATGGTACTGCACATAATTGAAAATCAAGAGGTGACAAGATTTTAGTCATTAGTAGCTGAATTAAAATAAGTCAGCCTGATTGCATCTAGGCATTTTTATCAAGCCGCTTAATTTTTCTCTGACATTTTATACCATACACAATTCATCGTCACCAAATATAGCACTTCCATAAGCAGTGCCAAAAGCCATGTGTCGTAATGGCACCCAAGTTTTCAAATTTAAAAATAATATACTTGATTTTCTTTCTAAAATAACTGAATCTAACCAAACAACTACTCCTATGTGCTATCTAAATGCTTTAAAGGTATCTAAAATGTTTACTGACAAAGAATTATTTAGATAAAGGGTGAACCTTGATAAGGAAGTATTTCTAAGAGTACAATTCATTAATGAAGAAGCATTTGGACCAGAATGTTAGCACTGAACTCGACCCCAGTCTTTGGGCAAGAGGCAAAAGACAAGCTGGTTTGACAACCCAATTCTTCTCCTCCTGGTTTCCTTTGACATCTTTTCTTCTGATTCATCTTGGCATGCCCTTGGCTAGACAGCCCTGTTCATTCCCCATGAGGCCTGCTTCTAATGGTTTAGACACTCAAAATTATTTACAATGCTTAAACACTAGTCATAAGCTAAGAGTCAAAGTCTTCCTAACATCTCCCAATATGGCTTTTCGCTCTTTATCTAGGCCAGCTCTAGGATATGAACAAGTCTTTAACCTCTCTGCCTCAGTTACCAGACCCAGAATAGAGGGAGAGCAACAGTTTTTTGTTTTGGGGTTTGTTGTTGCTGTTGTTTTATTTTGTGTTTGTTTGTTTTACCCAGTTACCTATTTATCAAAATGAGGTGTGGTTTAACTTTTGTTATATCATTTATATTCTAAACCCCTGTCTCTTAAGGATTTTGTGAGGATTAAATACAACAATGCACATAAGTCCCCAGTATTAAAAGCACCAAGCAGCATGGCCTCAATAAATGTCTACTGTTGCTATTATTCTAATTTACAGAAATTTTAATTGTTTATTTCTCACAATGTATTTTTTCAAATCTCCGATCAAATAATACAAAACCTTAGCATCTGGAAACATGAAAAATGGAACTGTTGGGAAAATAGGCACTCTTCAGTCAATCATGTAGCGGGTGAGGCTTCTGCAGGTGACTTTCCCTCCTGAGTACACCCCAGCACAGTTTCTACCTTCCCAGGGTAACGAGCAGGACCTTTACTCACTGACCACCTCGGGAGCTCCTTAAGAACAGGTACCTTCTGACTCAAGTGTGTGCCTCAGTGTCACATCCTCCCAGAAAAAACAGAGTAAAACTTATACTCAAAGTTCACTTATTTCCATCACAGGAAATTGGTTCAGTAAATTGTAATAGGTTCATATAATACACTGCAGTCATTTACAATGATGTAGAAATATATTTATTCATGTCAATAAAATTGTACAATATAATAAAGTCAAAGAGTCAGATGCAAACTAGCATTCTTGGTAGGACCCATTTTAAAAAAAAAAGTTCACATCAAGAAAAAGTATATTGTTGGGTGCTGGTGGCTCACACCTGTAATCCTAGCTACTCAGGAGGCAGACATCAGCAGGATCTTGGTTCAAAGCCAGCCCAGGCAAATAGTTCTTGAGACACTATCTCAAAAAAAAAATAGGGCTAGTAGAGTGGCTCAAGGTGACGGCCCTGAGTTCAAGCCCCACTACCACAAAGCAAAACAAAAGGCATAGATAACATTTCTCTGGGCCACTGTTGATAAATATTACAATCTTTTAAAGAAACAGCATTATCAGATTACCATAAAAATTCAGAAATTTCATTGATGAGGAATCTGCTTAAGTAAATAATTGAAATTGGAAGAATTGATATTCAAAGCTCTTTAAAAACTACAAACTATTCTGAATCATCTAAATTTTCCCCATAATTTAAGAATGGTTAACTGAATTATGACACATGAATTCAGTAAAATATTACATATATTTTACAAGATTGTACAATTTCTTGGCAAAGTAAGAAATGCGAGCAATAAGGGTAAGTTAGAAATACATTTTATATAAAAACTTTTGTAAATGCCACAATGCACCCCTAGCACAATAAAAAATGTGAAAAAACAGAAACATTGAAAAAAATAAAAGGAAGTGGGATGCAAAAGTGTATTTTCAGCGTGATTCAAAGTAAGTGTGGTATGCAGATATGCACAAACACACAACATGACTAGCAGGGAAGGTAGAAGTATGAGAATAGCTGCCAGAATGGGAGTGGAATTATAGGTGAATTTATTTCTCTTTATTTTTCTCCTCTACACTATAATAAAGCCATAATATTTTTTTCAGTGCCAGAACATATGCCACTATACACTAATAGAACATGAAGAAATGACTTGGGTCACCAAAGTCACCACTTAGCTAGAAACAAGAGTGGTCCATCATAGACACTATTCTGGCAACAGGACGGGAGAAAAGTGACTGCATTCAGCACATCGGCTCACTTGGAAGTCTTCAGCCTCCCAAAAAACTCAAGATGTAAGCCACCTTTCCTTCATTCTTTTCCCTTTCATTTCCTACCGACACACAGAGAAAATGGGCAATGTTAATACCTTGCTTATTATTTTAATAGCATGCACTCATACACACAAAAAAATACTCCTTTGTCATTACTCTCTTCACCTAAAATACTCTATTTACTTGCTAAGATCTACTAAAAGAGCATCAGAAGAAAAGTATTTTCCTACTTTTGAGTGTGTATTCAAAGCTTAAATAACTTTTCTGAGAAAGAAAAGAAGGGGGGAGGCTATTTAAAAATAAATAAGTAAGTGGTCTTACTATTCAGAGCCTGTCAGGTCCAAACATTCCCAGAGAGACTGATCCTTTTGATAAAAACAAGAGCAAACCTTTGTGCAATAGCAAATGCAGCTGTGGAATAATCGCACTAATTAGCTGCACAAGACAAGTCATCGCTGTGATGCTGGGGGAAATCCTTTCAAGGAACAGTAAAGCATTCCACTGACAAATTAAAATTTCTAGTTATCAACCACACTAGGCTTCAAACTTTAAAGTCAACAATAACATCATTTAAAGCATTTTCTGTGATATCCATGCTGAGAAAAAAAGATACAGATGAATACAATAGACTAATAAAATAAATGGAAACCCTACTGAAGAAAATACAGCAAGCAATATGCTTTATAGCTATATAAATATAGTAAGGTTCAACTAATGCACAGTGTTCTAACAAATCTTTCAAGAAAAAAAAAAGTGCAAAGGCAGCATTGGAGTCACCGCATTGCACGCACAGCCTGCAGGATATTTCCAAGTTGAGAAAGATGAATCCCATATTCTGTTTTCCTCTCCATCCTTTGAACATCCCTTTCACTTAGAAATAATTGAATCTACAATTATCACATTGTAGACAAAAACAAAGGTATCTAAATTTCATCACCTTAGCAGAACAAATGAGCACAATGTTTTACACTCAAATTGAGGTTTATGTGACAATATTCCAGGTGACTATAATAGCCATTTTTTAAAATAAGGACCTGTTGACTTGTAACGAGACATGTCCAAATGTATTTAATTTTGAAAGTGTATTGAACTCATCCTTAAGTCCATGAATCTAAACCCTGGCTAGATAATCCTAATTCCATGAGTCTGAGTCCTTTTAATCGGATTATATAAAGGTCATTTATCCAACAAATAGCTATTGCCAGGTGCTAGGAATACCTGGCTTTTAATCTCACAGCTTAAAGCCACTGTTACATTAGTTCTTCTGAAATGCCTTAAAATTAAGCCAATTATTTAGATTTTGGGACTCTGATCTAGTCCCACGTGGGAAGGTGTACACCTCTCCCTGAGAAGTGAAAACCAAGTGGCAGAGAGATAAATAACTTTGTTGGTTCTTCCCCCAACTACTGCAGCCATACAGCTCAGGAGAACGGGACTTGCTGCACACTGGCTCAAGGATGGCCTCAAGTTCGAGCTCAGTCAGTGCTGAAGAACGTGATCTTTAATGAGCACTTGGCCTCTCTGAGCTTCTCCAAACTTCCCTCCTTAATCTATTGCAGGGACTGGGTGAGCGAATATTATTAGCTAAACTAACACACTCAGTGCAATAACTAGAATGTACATATGGACAAGAGGTGACCACTAAATGTTACCTGAGTTCCTATCTCTATTGCTGGATTTACATTTTTAACCATTAGAGTGTCTTTCTTCCTTGGGCTGGTAGAGTGGGCTCAAGTGGTATAGAGCCTGCCTAGCAAGTGTGAGGCCCTGAGTTCAAACCCCAATATCGCCTCCCCCCCCTAAAAAAAATAGTGTCTTTCTTCTTTATGATGGTGTATGTACAACTGACAGGGACTCGGAATTATCTGCCATATTCCTAAATCCAAATAGTTTATTCCATTGCCTTCATCAATGACTTAAAAGTATCAGAAACTCCAGCATCCCACCTACATCTGCCTGACCACCCCTCACTTTTGGCAGTGATGCCAATACCTCTTTATGAGGCCCTAAGTCTCATATTACAATCCTTGAAGGCAGGAAGCCAGTCAACTGAAACTCAGAGAGGCTGAAGGATCTACTGGCCTTCGATTCCTGTGCTCTTCCACATGCTAACCTCTAACGTGGCCAAGTTAATCAGTCTCTTTGTACCTTAGTTTTTCTTGTTTATAGGGTGTTTAATAATTCTGCCTGTCAGCATTTTGGTAAGGATCAAAATTTCTAAGCAATACAAAAAGTTGAGCACAATGACTGGAAAAATTAATGATAAAAATTATAATACTAAGTCATGAACATCATACTTCTTTTTGATACAAGGAAGCAATTTTTATAAGTTTGAATGTACATTTACACCACAGAAGTGATGTCTTATAAAGTTTA